TTCAATTAATTCGGCGGACGAGGGTACGTTAGCTTCCCCTTCGATTTTACATGAAAAGAACGATTTTACTCAATATCTAAAAATTCATTTAGATATATCATTCAGATAGATCGGGAAAGTTTTAGATACTTGAGAAAAATTATTCTTTTCGTGTATATCCTCCAGGTACTGAGCCCTCTCACCACGTCAAGGTGTACCCGTGGGAGGGAAAATATCATCTGAAAATGTAATATACAGCGCTATTGTTTATATCTATATTACTATGCAATTGTCGGTTAATATTTAGAAATGAATATCAAACACACGTCAATTCGTCACTATTACGAAATAAATTCAGAGCAGATAAAAGGGCTGAATCATTTATTACGGTAATATGTAAGATATGATTAGAGACGATGGAATGGGCTAGATATTAATAAAAAAGAGGAATATTTCTTTTATTAGCGACAAATAGTTTCAAAATTAATTATTTATACGGATCGTATAACGAAAGATACACAAAACCAAAAATTAATTAAATTATTAATTATATTAATTGTGAAAGTAGGAATCGCATAAATTGCGTTATTTGCATGAAAGTATTTATTAACTGACTAAAGTCACTTTTTTATGACTCGTGTGATACCGTTCAAAGAATAATCGAGAGTTATACTTAAGCGAGACAACAAAATGTTACATTAAACAAAAATAATTGTCATAAAATAGTAATAAAGTCTGTTTTTCCATCGGGTTTTGATTCCAAATGAATGGATCATACAAAATATCTATTCCATGTAATACATAATTATATCATCTCAATCCTTTTATGAATAATTAATCGTGCAAGTAATCGTATATTGTGAGTATTCAAAAAGTACAATATTTCGTATTATATTAATTGTACAGATTGAAAAAGTCATTCGTTACTGAAAAAAATAACTCCTAATTTGTAACGCGTTACTTGTAACTAATAACATTACGCGTTACTCAAAATTTATTAATTTTTTTCAGTAAATAACGCGTAATATACGATTTTTCAAAGTCACTCTTCTTAATTTAAGTACAACCTTCGCGTTTAATTAGTTAGCGTTATCGTCATAAAAAATTGCAACATCTTATCATCAAATCATTTAAAAAGTAACGGAAAATAACTGAAAAGTAACGTTTGCTAACGCTGGCGATTATTAGTTTGTAATAAGTTTATATTACACAAAATCTCGCAAGGTACACAGTATTTTTAATAAAAGATTGACGCCTTGCAATTTTTTGTTACTTTTGAATTGTTGAATTTTGTCATTTAACATTTTACTCCACATTCTTAACCCAAGAAAAGTAATAGGTAAATTATATTCAAATTCACAATGCAATGTATTTGTTACATCCCGCAGTAACAAGTATGAATTACGTACGTTTATGCAATCTATCTGCTCAATGTCGGCAATAGAGAAACGATCTTTATGCTATAATATTAAACTTGAATATGCAACGAGCTTATGCAACGGAACACGACGACACCAATTTCCTTTTGCTCAGGCAAGCTTTTTCATTTAAAAGATAACTGATATGTGCTTGCTTTTCTTGTTCCTGATGTATGCGTTTTAACTTTCAGAAAAAGGCATTAATTCATAAGAAAGTCTCTTCGCTTTCAATAAATTTTAATTATAATTCAGATCTTATAGTGTTTAAAATGCTTCAAAATTTTTAATTTAATTACTCTTTTACTTAGAATTATTGTAATAAAACAGTCTTTACGTTAAGAATATTATATTTTAATTTTATATTGCAATTATTTAATTTTAAATATTTTTTCAATTATCTTCGCAATTAAACTGCAATTAAAATCATTACACTGTAAAAAAATTTGCTGAATTTTAGTAAATATTTTCTTTAATACTCCTAGCGAAATATTTATTAAATGTAACATATTCATTAGATACAACAACCTTTAATTTTATTCAATTATTATTTATTTTATTTATTTAAATATTTATTTATCGTAAGTAAATATTCCGCTAGGACTATTAAAAGAAATATTTATTAAAATTTAATACATTTTTTGTGTATAGATTCAAAAAGCTCGCATGTAATTGATTTGAATTTGATTTTTTCTTAGCCAAAATATTAAAGGAAGAGAGTTATTACTTATCGCAAAAGTCTCTAATTTTCAACATTATGTTTCGATTATTAAATGTAAAATTAAATCACCAATACAATAAACCAATACAATAAACTTTATCTGAACACGGCTAAATATGGTACAATTTCAATTATCCATTGACTTCTTTTAAAGTTTAGCTTAAAAGAGACCTTTAATTTTTACTTTGTTGTAACAGGAAAATGATAAATGTTTCGTTATTTTACGGAAAAATATATTTAAAAGTGAACAAAGAATTTCTCATTAAAAAGTCATTAACTTCTTTGAAACATTGTAAATACGACTTTTGATATTTAACATTTGACTAAAAAAGAGATTTAGTCATAAAGTCATATTAATTATACTTACTATATAATATAAATAATAACCTCTTTAAAAATATATTTACAATTTTCGAAATAGTTATTTATTTTATTATATCACTATAATTATTTTTTAAATATATATAATTGTAATCACAAATCGATGGTCAGTTTAAATTTGGGGCGTAGTTACTCGTATGTATGTAATTGATGCAGAAGTAAAATGTTTATATCACAAATTCATTGCATCGCAAACTTGCAGCTATCGATTTTTAAATACTATTTTTGTTACAAGTTAAATAAATTTGTTCAATTATGTTATTGAAATATACATATCGCGTAAAATTTTTTATTAACCTATTTGCAAAATAAATTTTGATGTTATAAAAAATATTTGATAGAAGCCACATATATACGTTTAATTTTATCATTAACGAATCTTTATTTTAACAAGATTTTTTACCTAATTAGATATTTAACATAATTTTGCGTTGTGCAGTATTTATCATGTTACGTGTGTATTTTCATATACATATAAATTTTTCTTATAATTTGTTATACAATAAAAAGATGCTATGAAAGATTTGCTATAAACGCGATTTATTGAAAAATTATTTTCAATAAATGCAAAATATTTGTCAAATTTGTTTGCTATATGTGTTAAACAAATTTGACAATTAAATTTTGTAATTCTTACATTCGCAAATGGAATTAGCCATTATGGCTTAGGATTGGCGTGCATAGCAAATTTTCTCCCTCCCCAATATAACAAAATTATTAAATAAAATTAATGTTCATAATGTGAATAAGTAAAAGCGTGTAACAAACCGGTACTTGCAACAAATAATTTGTAGATACAGTGAAAACAAATGTCGGTGCTGAAAACGAATACAATTTAAGATTCTTCTGTCATGGAGATTGATACTAATCTGTTATTCCAATCAATTATTATTAGTAATAGAAGCAATAATGTATCTGCCAGATGGATTTTTATTTACTAGCAATACTAATTACTGTATAGTTATTTTGTTTTTAACAATGAACATCTTAGTTTGTTTTGATATTTGAATACATTTTTAAAAGAAAATTTAATATTCTAAATAAAAAATAAATAAAATGTTCGATTTAACTATTTGTAGAAAAACTGAAAAATAAAATTAATATTTGTAGTACAAATATGTACATACATGCAATCGAAATTTATTTGATTTGCCGCAAGATTAACATGTAGTTATCGTAACCCTTGCATTACGTGCACGCGTGGGCGTACAATGCGTTGCATATGTATAAATTTACAAGCAAATTTGCTTTTCTGTATCATGAAAGGTAACGTATAACGGACAGTTTGTTTATGAAGAAAAGACGAGTTTACTACAGCTTGTTGCGAAGTATGATCATATCGTGTATGCGCGTTAAAACTTAAAAAGCCCTGACGTATTTTTCATCCGAAACTCGGAATTCCTCAAATTAGTTTAATGGAAAAAAGTTCGCACATAATACATTTTATGTACTTTCTGAAACTATCGTTAATCAAACATTAAAATTGACGTACGTAAATCAAATGCCCACATGACTTATAACTTCTCGTATAAAGTTCTTTTTACTGCAATATCTTCGTAACTGACGACACAGATGTACTTTCGTCACTCCACCATTATACTGCGTTTCTATAACAGAAAGCGACTATAAAATAAAAATTACACTGTTGTACTTTAAATATACTCTAAATTTCTTGTAGTGAAATCTCACTTCAAGAGAGTGAAAATACAACCACCCTTGAAAAGAAGTGAAAATATTTCACTTTATGAAAAAAAAATGACCGTCTTCACTCTTTTTAGAGTGAAATCGTTTTTTTTTTTGGCGTGAGATTTTATTCCTTTGAAGTGAAAATCTCTTCACTTTAAAAAAACTGAAAATTGTTACTCTTTTTCAAAAAGTGAAATTTTTATTTTCACTTTCTTGAAGTGAGATTTCACTGTAAGAAATTTAAAGTGTACAAAAATTTAATACTGGCCAATACTCGAAAAACAGTTATTAATTATTTATTTTAAGTATCAAAAACACTGTTGTTCAGTAGTACTCCTAATATTAGTACTCCAAATAAGTACTATCTTTTAGTAATAAATTGACTAGTATTAAATTGGCCAATTAGATTTTTGTAAGGATAGACTGTGAGAGAATAAAAGTGCTTTACCTGTTGCTACTTCCTTCGATCTTCATGAATCATACATTAAAGCTCGATGTATAAATGGAGAGTCGCTTGTTCTGACAGCGTTGTTGTTTCTACGCACAGTGAATTTTTGTGTGATAGATAGACATGATAAATAGGCCGAGAGAGAAGAAGAGATCAGCGCGTCGATATTGTTACCGATGACGTGGAGGCAGCGAGGATCCTCTCGCATCCGCCCCTATGATTATTATTTGTCGAGAGTCATAAATAATAAAGAAGATTACGTAGGTCGGTAGCCGGTGGTGATGGTGTAATTGAATCAAAATAATGTAGAGGTATCGTGTTGTGCGCTGCGACCAATCATAACTCAGGTGAGAATGTCTCCTCCTCACAGATACAGAGAGAGAGAGGACCAATGCGCCGAGGAGAAGAGGGGAAATATGCGCGCCGGGGTGCACCTATATAAAGGGTGTCATCGCCAACCCCAGACACCCATTCCACCAGAAACCACCACCAAACCACGCCGTCGCTATATTCACTGTATTACGTTTTTTTCCATTTTGACACTTACATTTCACGATCTCTCGTCCTCTGCATCGCCCTACGCATCGAGAAGTCTAAAAGTCGACAAAATGGTGAGTGTTTTGTCGCTGTCGTTATTGTGGAGTGAGTGCTTCACCGCGGAGAGATGTGCGGTGATTGTTCCGTGAATTAATCTTCTATAATTGTGTGGATTAACAGCTGAGCTATCTCTTCAACTATTGATGATGATGAAGAATATGTCGAGAAATAGCGAGAAATCAAACGATCTCTGTACATCTTAATATATTTAACAATCGGAAAATAAGAAAGATGCTGTCTTAATTTTTACAAATCATATAATGAGTCACAAATATTTAATTGAATGTTCCGTTGTTTAGTACTTTATTTTATGTACATTGTAATTAATCAGTAATTTACACCCCGAAAGAAATATTCTGCTATTTAGCGGTTCCTTGTTAATGTCAAAGGATTTTTCATTTATATATGACCTTAAGAAGATACTCTGTAAAGTAGAGGAATATAGTATTACCATAAGATGCTGAATTTAAGATTGCAATCCCCTTAATGCTAGAAAAATGTCTTGCATGTACTGACATGTATGCATAGCTACGGTAGCACGTAAATGACAAACTTCTTCTAGCAAATAAGCGTACTGCTAGTATCTTGTTTATCTTTTTTTATTTCAAAAGGCTTTTGTCGGGTTATTATAGAAGAATTTTCTATAGACGAATTTATTTTTAATCATAGCTCACGTTCATAGATCCTCATGTTTATAGATCTACCTTTATTTTTCTTTATTTTTATAGATAAATAATAAATTAGGCGCGTGTTATAAATACACGCGCTTAATTCATGTAAGATTGTTTGCTTAGAGGAAATGCTAAGAGAAATTTCCCCGCTTATTGCCACAATTTTTTTTGTGGATTACGTAAAAATTAAAATGTAATATTTTCAAAAATGTAAAATTTTGACACAATTTAGATACAAATATAGCAGCATATTTCTTTACTAAAAATTTATAATGTGTTAAATTAATACATTCAGCTTCCATTACTTTAACTAATGTTTTAAACATGTTACATTATTTTTATGTTATTTAATCATTTACTCATTGTGTCAATTTAACACTAAGAAATGTTAAATATCAATTTAGTACCAATTATTTCAATTATGTTATGATAAATAACTTGGATAAAAATTCAATAAAAATAACAAGAACCTAAGTTAAAATGTTTTAACAAAAGTACAAAATGTTTTTATTATGTGACATATATATTATTTGTTTAGTTTGTACGCAGGAAATACTTTGCACATTAGACAGATAAAAGGAGAAAGCGGAGAGAGAAAGAGAGGAAAAGAGGGAGAGAGAGAGAGAGAGAGAGAGAGAGAGAGAGAAGGGAAAAGATTTTTAAATTTTATTTGTTTTCATTTTAAATAATGATTCTTATATAAATATATATCAAAGAAAGTGTTTTTTCCAAATTATTAAATGCACTAAAAAGGTTCAAATTTCTTTTTTAAATTCTGTTTTAATAATGTTAATGATTCAATGATTTTAAAAAACAAACAAATAATTTTTATTTTAGAAAAAAAGTAGGATAGAAATTAATTATTCAGAATAATAAAAAATATGTTTAAAATTTGCATTTATAAAAAATTCGATTTTTTAAGCAGTAATATGCATTGTTTTTCGGTAATTTTGTTAGAAATAAAAAACGGACGTACAGAGGTGGATTCCACAAAGGTGGATTTCTTGCGTCACCGAATTTGTCTCCGGTCTTCGTGATAAATCCTCTGTTGCTTTTGTATATTATTTTCCGCTTTCGTGCAATGTTTTTCTTTGAAATATGCTTTCTTATTATTTCAGCTAATTTCCATTTTCATTCAACTATCTTACAGCGTACACATATTTACTTACTATTGAATTGACGTGGCAAGTCTCGTATGTTCCCTTACAATTTTTATAAACTTATCGACTTAATTTTCTCAGATTTATCGTGGAGCCATTTTGTCTTTCTAAACATTCTCATGACATTTCTCTTTCGGATTAATTGATTAAATCACAGCTTAAAAATTTTGATAATAACTAGCTGCTATATTCTATTATATTTAAAAAATAGTAAGATAAAAAGACATCTCTAATTAATTTCCGAGAAAAAAAAATGCGTGGTGTGATAAGGATTCATAATAAAGAAATATTTCATTATATCAACTTTATTTAATTTGCTTTTGAAATGTGTTTGTTTTTATTTCAAAGATTAATATAATAATGTTTGAAGAACGGAAAATGCATTTTCAATATTAACATTTCTATTTCAGAAGATATTCAATGATAGATTCTTTCTTGATTAAAATATTGAAGTTTCATTGTGATTTTTCGCAATTTTTGCAACATATAATATTTTTAATTCAATTAAATTAATTATTTTTAAGTTTAATTAAAATAAAATAAATTCAAAAATCAAAGGATTATGAGCGAGGTAATTGATTTAATCATTGTTTAAAAATCTGTTCAAATGTTAAAACAAACTAAGACATTCATTATAAAAAAGAAATTTCAAACCTTAAAAGATTTTTTTATATGCGTTAATATTATTTTTAGTAAAATTTTTAAAATTAAAATAATGAGAATAGAGCTACGAGCCAAGCAAGGCTCTTGATGCTATATTATTAAAAAAACAAACGGTTTATTAGTTTCAGAGCATACGTTTCGGATTCTCAATATTAAAACAATAAAATTCAAACGGAATTAACTAATCATTTTAATAACAATAAAACATAAAAACATATAATGTAATTATAAGAACAAAAAATTATAAAACCTGTTAACCAAATTTATAGCTATAACTGTGAAATACATTCCAGATTATTAAATCGCTTTGTAGTCGTCAATGGTTGTCTCTGTACTATTTACATATTTTTCGTTTAACTCTGCTGTAAGACAGCAAGCTATGAATTTGATTAATAGATTTTATAATTATTTATTCTTATAATTACATTATATGTTTTTATGTTTTATTGTTATTAAAATGATTAGTTAATTACGTTTAAATTTCATTATTTTAACGTTGAGAATGACCCGATATCGAGGTCGAAACGTATGTTTTAATAAACTGTTGGTTTTTAATAATATAGCGTCTTCCTTATAGGGCTCGTAGCCCTATTCTTATTATATTAATTTTATAAATTTATTTGAGCCTTTTCTTATATTAAAATTATTTTAAAATTTTTATATTTTTGAAAAAAAAATAGTAAAGATAAGGAAACAGAAATAACTACTTCAAAATTCAAGCTTATTCTTTCTGAAGAATAGTAGGTAAAATTAATGCATAAAATATTATTACTTTATATTATAAATAACTAGGTTAATTAATTAAGATTTTTATAATTATATCATTCTTTATAATTATATCATATGTTTGCTTATTGAAAACTATGATTATGTTATTTGTTCATATGTTCGACGTCTTGGGAAAAATTGCATATTATTTCTCTCTATTTTAATCATTAGTTACTTAAAAATATCTTTATTAGTGGAGGTATTAACTTCAAGGCAACTGAAAAATCTGCTATTAATCGTTAACGCGATAGTACCGCTCATTCAATATAAAGTATAACGTAATGAAACGCGAGCGGCGTAAGAATCTGAGTAGTACACATATTAATATTGATGCAGTACAATCTGCGTAAAGTAACAATAAAGATCAGTTAATTAATAAGAGAACTTGCTTATCTGGACTTACATCAATACTCGTATCCCTAAATCGTGGTAAATCTGTAGGTTTTTAACAATACGTGTAGTAAGTTTGTGACGTGATTATGAAGGGCAGTCGCGTACACAGTTAATTAAAGTAATATAAGGCATCACATTAATCTTGCTCAGTACGCCATGATATTGTTAAACAGGATATTAATACAGATAATAAGACGCCAATATAATTTATTATGTGACGCACGTGCGCGTTGGACGCATTCTCTTGAGATATTCTCTTGTTGCATTTCGTAATTCAAGTCAACCTTGATAAATCACATATCGCCCAATAACGTCATTTGGTAATTCTGAAATTTATAATCTGTATTATGAGATTAGATAGACATAAATATGTGACATTTATGTAAGTCTAGTCTACTGCTATGTCTAGTAGTTACAAGTATTTTGTACGCGATGTAAGAGACTTCATTTTCACTTGTTTAGTTACTGTTTTGTACAATATAGAACATACCTATTTTCTTGTTTTCTCAAAAAATAGAAATTAATTTGTTACGTAAAAATTTTAACAATTTACAATTACAGATCTGTGACGTTTATATAAAATATAACTAACTTTCCTAATATAACTTAGTTATTAATATATCTATATATATGTTAATTATTAATATATCTTATATTTTGTTAATTATATTTATTTTACTATTGATGTAATTTCCTTCTGTTTAAATAAATGTGTATGCAAAAAATATTCACCAAATCATTCAAAGAATTGTTCGTTAAAATTTTATTTTATTAAAAATTTGTATTAAACATTATCTTTAAGTATGTATGTTGTTGTTAAGAGAGTAATTTAATCTTTATTGTTAGTAAAGCATTTTCACAGCCAATACTGAAAATATATAATATATACAGATCGTGTCACATATGTATATACTACATATTTTCAGTATTGGCTGTGAAATGTGCAGCCTACTGAAAAATATAAAGTACAAAATATTTTTCAATATATAAATTTATATTTAAATAAATCTAATCTAAAATAATATGTAATAAAAATAATGCGATCTATTGAATGATTATAAATATAAAGATAATAAGAAACACCATTGTCATAGAAAAAAGTAATAATAATGATAGCGGCGTTACAACTAATGCGTTGCTTGCCAACTCTGATGATAATTATTTATAATAACATGTTATTGTCACAAATATTAAAAATTTTTTCCTCAGTATAAAAAAAATTTTGCAAATAATGGGCAAGTTTTATGGAATATAAAATTAAAAAAGATAAAAAATATTGCACGCGATATATATACAGTTTTATTCATACAATTTTTGCAGATCGCACTTTGGGCTTTCATTGTGATGGCATTTCTCTATAATTGGATGTTCGTGTCTTCTTCGATATTGACGCCACTCCAAGACGATAGTAGCTTGAGAATCTTCAAGGAATCGCCGAATGAATTTGAATATGTGATAAAAAGACATGGCATCAATGAGCGTAAAGAAAATACCGAAACTAAAGAGAGACGCAGCACTATGGGTTCTTCCTTCATTAGATTCGGACGCAGTCAGTCTGCCTTCAATCTCGCCGATAATTCCGTCTTCGACGAAGAAACTGATTCAATGGTCAGCAGGCATCCCCGATGGAAGTCGCCAGATATCGTGATCAGATTCGGTCGATCTAACTTCAAGGCTGTCAACGATGGACAACTCAAACGCGGGCGAAATGATCTCAATTTTATCAGGTAACCATCTTGTCGTATTTTTGACTTCCTAATATCGAAATGTAAAGAAGAGTTGCCTGGATGGATATAGTATTCTAAATTACATCTCATAAATTTTGTTTATTAATGAAAATATAAACAATGTGTGTATATAAAGGAAAGTCATTGGTATCGAGTCATATCACTCCATTTTTTGAGTAATATTTCTAAAATAAAAGCTAAAAATAAAACTTTAGAAATATAACTTTAGGAATAGATATATAAACGCAAACTAGAAAGTGTCTTTTATTAGATAATGTAGCAGTTTTTTATAATTCAATCATTTATTCATATAGCGCAACATCCCAAAGTCGGGATAGAGCCTATCTCTTGTATGCACGTACGCATGCAGGTTGTGATATGACCCTTTGCTATGGGGAACCCCTAGCATGGTAGACACGCGCGGTCCAGTCTTAATAAATTAATAAATTCATAATTTTTGGATCTCCAAAGTAGGCAAATAATTTTATGAATTTTTTAAAGCGACATTGTAAAAGAAATAAAAAACCTATTTTAAGTTCTTAATTCTATACATATTAAATTAAATAAAAAATTTTTCTACATATTATATTGAAGCAAAATGGCAGCGCTGAAGTCTTTCTATGCTTGCTATTCCAAAGTTTTGTTTAGCAGTTAGCAATAAAATTGTCGTTATAGGGTGCTTCCGCAACCTGCACATCAGTTAGTCGGGTTGCCTATCTGCCTATGGGCAGGGGCATGCTTTATTAATGCAGAATAAGATTAGATCGCGAGTTCGGCGGGGAGACAAGAGAAATTGAATTTTACATTCTGGTATAGTGTAAAATTCAATAATATGTATAAAATATGTATTTAATAATACAAATTATAATACATATTTATAGTTATATATTTTTAAATATTTATTAAGTTTCACTTATGTTAGATAAAGTCAGATATTATTTGTATCATTAACTCCATATTTTATATCATATTATTGAATATTACACTATACCAGAATGTAAAAAATTCAATTTCTCTTGTCTCATTCTCCACCGGATCTAATCTTATTCTGCGTTACCAGTAAAGCATGCCCCTGCCGATAGGCAGATAGGCAACCCGATTTACTGATGTGTGGTTGCGGAAGCACCCTGTACACATAGCCTTAGAATAAAAAATTAAACTTTTTCATGATCTGAGAGAAAAACTTTGGGTATTTGTAACTGTAATTACATATTACTATATAATTGTAAGTATTATTGCTATAATTAATAATAATAACCATATGTATAGTTCTAGTAACAAATGTATATAGTTGACAACCTAAAATGATTACAATCATAGTTATTATAATAATAAAAATGATTTAAAATTACTATAACTTAACAGTTGTTTTATAGGACAACCATATTAAATATTAATATAAAGTTATAGTAATTTGATGAAAGTCCTGATAAAAAGTCTCGACAGACACGACCCCCAATAATCGTTTGATCTCTATGAAATTCCACTTTCTAAAACTGGCTAATATCACAATATTTTATTTATGACAAATACGATGCATTCCTATGTCATTATTTGCATTTTCTAGATACATATCTAAATAAAAAGTTATAAATGCACAAAATAGAAAACGCTCATTAATTGCAAAGCAATAATATAGACTAAATGATCAAATACGAGCAAATTTAGATGCTTAAAATAGTATTTTTTAATAACCTAATAAAATCATATACATACGTTTCGACTCATAGAACTTTCTGCAATTTAACGATACGCAAAATAGTAGATAAATTAACATTAATTTCATCAAATCTCATTTAAACATGTTATATCTATAAATGTAATAACAAATTATATTTTTTAACATTAATAAAAGCTGATTATTTCTTAAACTTCTTTCATTAATAACTTTTTGACGATCCACGAGTAACGGCTAAGACCTGTTCGAAAACACTCAGAATTATGATCTTGACAATATATGTCAAGATCATCGGGTGCCTCAATAGTTTTACCCACGCAAAAGTCAATAAGAATTTGGAATGATTAAATAAATTTTGCTTGAAATAGGTTTGGTCGTAGTGTACAAGTCGTGCCGGCTTCTCTCAATTTATCTGCGGTGTGTTCGGAGCTTATGTCAAACATTGTGATCAGCGGCACGAAATTACATCCGGATGTGTCGAGATTTCTCCGTCTTTGCAACGGCCTGAACAAGATAACCGATGAAATCAGTTTGGACGCCTCAGAGCATCAGGATAGCCCGAGTCGTCACGAGTAGGCCTGCTTGCTGTTATCCGAGCTTGTCCGAGATCCGAGATCGTCCCATGCGGATTCGTCCTGTGGATTCGATGTCGAATGTCAACGAGGATTCGTAGTGTTCCAGTTTGTCGAATCAATTTGACCGCTATGACCGAATTGCATTTGGCTTTGAGATGACGACCGGATCGCGTTACTATCAGCGCGGATTTATACTTAAATGGATCTCTCGCACGTCGATTTGTCAAACAATTTGAAAATGATTACTCGATTGTTGCAATACTGCGAAGAAACAATAAGATCTATTTGAATAAGATTCTCTTCTATTCCTTATTCCTTTGTTAAGTCGCAGTGTCACAAATGTCACGAGTCACGAAATGCTAATCTATATTAAATTTTTTAATATGTGAACTCGTTGCGTCTTTCTTGAAAATAAAAATCAAAACAAGCAAATTATATTTTTTTTAATTTTTCATATAATTACCATACTTGTTGTTCTAATATATTTATAAGTGATTATTATCTATCTTTTTTACGTATATAGTTGGAAATTTTTAGTTAACCGTAACACATTTTAAGGCCAATTTATATATCACGTAGAACAAAGATAGCAGATCACAAACTAGAAACTAACTTAACGTATTTTAATTATAATAGTTTACAGAACGCAGAACGTAGGACGCAGAAAGTTAGGTGAACTTCAACTTTCGGGTTCTGCGTCCTGCGATCTATTATAATCTGAAATACGTTTCACTTGCGACCTGCGACTTGCGTTTTGCGTGTTATATACTTGGCTTTATGTGTCCTAAATAATCCATTTTTTGTGTTAATTTAATACAAGATGAATACATTAGGAAGTGACACAGATATTATGTAAAAAATGTAACGCTGACATATTTGTAAGCAAATTAAAAAGATATTTCTTCAGAAAAAAATAATATTTGTTATATTAAATTAGCACACTTAAGTAAATTTAATATTTATAATATGTCAAATTAATACATTTTATTAATTTATTTTAGAATTTACGTTTAAAATATTTTATTATTTATATATTATTTATTTATTTATTTATTTATTCGTTAATATGATATAAATTGTATTGTGTTATTTTAACACAAAATATTGAATATTAATTTAACACACAAAATATTTAAATAATACAATCACATTGTGTTAAATTAACACTTGAATATTTTAAAAATTTGGCACAAAATGTAAAAAATATCAATTTTAACACAAATATAAAATATTTTTTATTATGTACTTGTCTAGATTTTATGTATTATATAATTATTTCTTTTATTTAGTTCCATGAAAATATTTTTCAATAGCGAGAAGTGATGCTCAATTATCCATTTTAATTTCTATTGTTTTTCTTGCAAATGCATTAAAGGATTAAATGAATTTCTTGTGTATTTTGTTGTATTACCCTTATCCTATCTCCTAATTAAATATATACAGTTTCATTTTTTCTAAAAAAAGAACTACCATTTCTCTAAATTTTATTAAGTGCTAAATAAACAATTAACGCATCCGCAAGCTGATAGGAAATGGCGAACCATAAATCTCATATCGGATACCGCGCTGTACATCCCGCGCTGTACACCTGTTTTCTTATTAATTTAATGTATACACAAACTTGACGATTTGTCGTCCCGAAAATGTCATTGACTGCGTTCAGCAGAACGTTTATTTTGCAACTGTTAGAAATTTTTTTCGCGCTGGTTGAATTATACTTTAAGAGCTAGAGAAATGCAGTCCCATGTCAGCAAACAATCATAAAACGATTGCAAAACTGTTGCGTTCTGCTGAACGCATCTAATGTAACCGTAAATTCATATTCAAATTGTGCGCTTTTTTGTCATTTCCGCAGCAGGTAACAACCAATTTAGGTGGATGTACTAATAGTACACAGAAGATCCTAGAAATCATCGCTAAATGTACAGCATGGCATGAAATGTTGCTATTTGAATATCTAAGAACTTAAACATACGTCAAAAATAGTGAATTGCCAATTTTTAGACTTTTTGATGGCAAAATATTAAGAAACAATGTGTTGCATACAATATTGGCTCATTTTATATCCAGCTATCTTCATTTGATTTTTCTATTCCATAACTTTTTGCTGTCCTTTTTACAGCTAATTGAAGATGTCTAAGAAGTTCGTCGCAAAAAGTTATTAAAGAGTTTCTCTAGTTATCCAAAAATCCAAAAAGAGAACAAAAATGTTGGTAAATGTACCGAACAAGGGATCCCATTTAGTCGATAATACAAACGACCTTAAGGATTATCAAAGAGTTATTTATATCACTACACTTTTTGTCAATTTATACGCGATTGTCTTTTATGTAATTTTATATATAATATGTGTACATTCAACCAAATTCACATTGTAAGTTTCGCATGTTGCATAAACAATATGACTGTTAAATCCAGCTTAGGCTTATGGTATAAGTATTTCCACATAGTACAATATTACAATAACATTGCAATATATAAAAAATATTACATATTACAGTATATTATCACAAAAATATTACTAATATATTACAGTATATTATCACAAAAATATTACTAATATATTACACGTTGATAAATAACATCGAAATATCACAGTGCAAGATGACTAGTTTACAATATATATTCGCACATATGCACATTTATACGCGCGCGTGAAACAAGAGAGAGAGAGAGAGAGAGAGAGAGAGAAATACAGACTTCTTTCCCTTTTTCTTCTCTTTCTCTATTTTCCCTTATCTTTTGTATTTTTTTATTATATAAATATCTTATATAGACACCTTAATTCGCAAATATACATTTTTATGTTGCAATATGTCGAATATATTTTTTTTATTGCGGTATAGAAAAAAATTTCACATTATAATATACTGTACGTATTTCTCGTAATTAGTTTTGTCTTTCTTTGTTGTATTTATTTCTTAAATTATTATGAATGCATCGCACTAAACACAGTAACAAAGCCATATCATCAGAGGAGGTGGGAATAAATAATCAATCATACGAGTGACGGAAAATATGAAGAAGAATGAACTAAAACGCGTTGGCGGCATACAAACTTGGGATTTAATCTCTATTCGCTGTCACAAAACTCTCGCAAGCCATTATTTGGGGAATTAGACAGCAAGAGAAACACGTACTCGCTCGCTATCCGCATATATCCTGTGATAACGCCAATGCTATACAATACTAGACAATGTGGTAACTCTCTGTGTGAGTCCGACTGAGTTCTTTTCTTTCAGTACACGACGCCTCGCCCTCGTACTTAATCCGCACCCTGAAAATTGATCCGCCTGACACAATGTCGTAAGGTTTCGTCGAATTGCACTAGATGTGATCGTTACAGTCTGCGTCTGACATATTTCGCGCAAGCATATCGACATCGATGTGAAAAAAATACGTAAGTACATTGTTTCGACACATCCCTACAAAATGGTCGAACTCGAAAAAGGATGGTAAAAAATATCGTTTTTCCCCTTGGAATTTTCTGTAAATTTTTACGGAATTTTTACAGAATATTAATTAAAATTTAGAGATTTTTCATAGAAGTTTTTTTTTAAAAGCATTTATTTGGCATAATTACTATATTATACTGTACTTCTAAATAGCCAAAAACATGGAACTTTAAAAAAAATTTAAAAATCAATTTCGGATAAATAAAAAAAATTTAGTTGCTGAGAATAATTGAAAAAAACATTTGGTGATTTGAGAGCATTCAGCATTCCAATTCTAAAATTATGAAAATTATATATTCACGGCCGTTTATAATTTTACAAGTGGGAAGAAGCATTTTAAGTGAGAAAAGCATCTTATAATTTCAACCGCTTCAGTTGTCTGTTCAGCGTGCATAAATATTTCTTTTCAACGACACGTTAGAGGAAAATGGATCCGTCAGAGTCTCAGCAGGATCTACTATCTAACGAGATGAGACCGCCGTCGGTGCAATCGTTACAGATACATAATATTGACTATATTCTTGGCCCAGTCGAGAAACATTTCCTGCTTAGCGCAGAACGAGGTGATTGTGCCACTGTCAAAAGGTAATCCTGAATTTTTCTGCATTAATATCCCTTTAAGGATATTCTGGGCACGTAAAATAATCTTGTTCTTGGAATAAACTCTTTTTGTTACCGCGATGTAGATCAAATATGTAATTATGTGAAATATGTAATTATGTGAAACATTATGTGGAGAGAGAGAAAGAGATACATGGAAAAAACAGTGTGGTTGGTCTATATACTGCAGAAATATCTGGTGATATCGATCAGATTAAATAATAAAATACGGAACAACTATTATGTGATTGCGAAGTAGTCATAGAAAGGTTGCTACACTTTTTTCTCGATAGATTTCGAAACTCAACCTTGCTCATAGAATGGTTGAATGAATTGTAAATGGTTAGATCTATAAGTAAGTACCAATCACTCGATGAACAAATTGCATTTTAAAACCCATAAAAAAAAGTATTGCAACTTTCCTGTGATCGGCAACTTTCCTGTACAATGATTGAATATCAAGTTGCAATAATCAGTCTGTTTCTTAAATATTCAACCACGAATATTTTAATGACAACTGCATCATTTGATTTGTTTAAATAAATTACGTTGATGCGATGAAAAGACTAAAGATTAATATCTCACGGTCCACACTTTTTTAACCAGATTCGTATTCATTATTTCGTATAAAAACGCGTTGAATGTGCCTAATTTTGTCAAAATCAGTGAAGAAAATAGAGAATTCTTGAGTATTACTAACTTTTTTATTATACACATATCTTCAAATAATGCGATAAAAATGACAGTTTTATGCGTTTCTTGCAATGCTCATCCGTAGCGTAACGGAACGACGAGAAGCCGATATGACGATATAACTTTTCACGTTGGACGTCTATGTATGCACGGGAATACAAATGACTTAACACTCGAAGTTGCATGCGTATCGGAAGAAACATGAGAAGGAATGAGAAAGCATGTTAAGGCATTTGTATTCCCGTGTGTACAATCATTGTGGAAGTAATATTACTTCCATCATGTGTACAACGCGTTTGCATTTGTATGTCGTAGACCGCTTTTGCATTTGCGATTTGAGAAAACATATACGATTCGAACTACGCACACAACTAGATATATATTCCTCAACCAAGTTTTGGTTATCACTGTCATATCATGCGTAATTTATCAAATGTGTCTAACGAGTAATTTAATATTGTTGAGCGATGGGA